TGTTTCAAACAATAATAATAATAATAATAATAATAATAATAATAATTAGTCCTAGACACTTGGGAAGGGTCCGACGTGTGATCCAATACAACAGCCAGCAGGGTGACCTTGCTTGCTGTGGACTCATCTTGTTGTGTTTCTAATAAATAATAATAATAATAATAATATAATAATAATAATAATAATAATAATAATAATAATAAGTCCTAGACACTTGGGAAGTGTCCGACATGCGATCCAATACAACAGCCTGCAGAGTGTCTGCTGTGGACTCATCTTGTTGTGTTTCAAACAATAATAATAATAATAATAATAATAATAATAATAATAAGTCCTAGACACTTGGGAAGTGTCCAATGTGTGATCCAATACAACAACCAGCAGAGTGACCTTGCTTGCTGTGGACTCATCTTGTTGTGTTTCTAATAAATAATAATAATAATAATAATAATAATAATAATAATAATATAAGTCCTATAATAATAATAATTAGTCCAATAATAATAATAATAATAATAATAATAATAATAATAAGTCCTAGACACTTGGGAAGTGTCCAATGTGTGATCCAATACAACAACCAGCAGAGTGACCTTGCTTGCTGTGGACTCATCTTGTTGTGTTTCTAATAATAATAATAATAATAATAATAATAGAAGTCCTAGGCACTTGGGAAGGGTCCGACATGCGATCCAATACAACAGCCCACAGAGTGTCTGCTGTGGACTCATTCTGTTGTGTTTCAAACAACAACAACAACAACAATAATAATAATAATAAATAAATAATAATAATAATAATAATAATAATAATAATAATAATAAGTCCTAGGCACTTGGGAAGGGTCCGACATGCGATCCAATACAACAGCCCGCAGAGTGTCTGCTGTGGACTCATTCTGTTGTGTTTCAAACAACAACAACAACAACAATAATAATAATAATAATGTCCTATAATAATAATAATTAGTCTAATAATAATAATAATAATAATAATAATAATAATAATAATAATAATAGTAATTAGTCCTAGAGACTTGGGAAGTGTCCGACGTGTGATCCAATACAACAGCCAGCAGAGTGACCTTGTCTGCTGTGGGCTCACCTTGTCGTGTTTCAAATAATAATAATAATAATAATAATAATAATAATAATAATAATAATAATAATAATAGACCAAACTCACGCTTGTCCCAAAAATCTTGAAGACCCCTCCAAGAAAGTATTGGAGGGGGTCTTCCTGCCCCAAATTTCACCTGGATCCCAAGCTGGAATGCCCTAAAGAGCTATCTAGAAAGGTGGAGATGTGACCTTGGAAGCCTGGCCTTTGCAGCCAACGGCATATTTTGCATGCTGCAGAAACTGTTTTGTTTTAAACCGGCGGTTTTTGCAACCAGGAAGAGAGAGGCGTGCAGAGAGACACAACATAAAGGCAAGGAAATAAAACCATGCGATTGCAACTGATCGGGTCCCTGGTGCATGGAGAGAGAAAAAGAAACACGAATAAGCCTATAACATGACCAACCCAGCAAGATGGCTCCGTGGATGTCACCCTGCCCTCCAACGCCAGTTTCCACCCCCAGCTTTGCAAACTTTGCCGTGTTTGTTTGTGCAGCTCCAGGGACAGTGTGTGCCTGGCGGGGGCCCAACGGCGCCAGATGAAGAGCTCCTGGACCTTATCGGCGCTTGGGGAAAGGTCCCAGGATCAACAAACAGGGCCGAGAGGAGCAACGGGTGCCGAGATGAACGTTGGAAGAGATTCCAAGGAATTGTTTTTGGTTTTACGATGGTCACGAAACTTCCATTTCAAATATCTCTTGCCACCGATGGCATTCCAGGATGGGAGGCTGGAAGGAATTCCAAAATGGAAACTCTGAAGAAGTCCCAATCGTGCAGAGAGAGGACTCTTCGGAAAAGATGATCATGTTTGGTCAAGAGGAGGACTCGCTCTAGAAGGTCATGGCTGCCCGCAAGAACAGAGTTGGGTGCTTGAGGATGATGGGGTGACCAGGGCGATCACCACAAGTCTACGGGGATGGGTCTTGGAGGTACTTTCTGCTGTGGCTTCAGACTCTTTGGAAAAGATGATCATGTTTGGTCAAGAGGAGGACTCGCTCTAGAAGGCCATGGCTGCCCACAAGAACAGAGTTGGGTGCTTGAAGATGATGGGAACACCACAAGTCTACGGGGATGGGTCTTGGTGGTACTGTTCTGCTGTGGCTTCAGTCCTTCCTGGAGGACCATTCCCAGAAGGTGTTGCTGGGAGAGACCTGCTCAGCACAGTAGTCATTGTCTTGTGATGTCCCACAATACTGTCCCCCATGTTGTTAACACCTACATGAAGCTGCTAGGAGAGATCATCTGGAGTTTCGGAGTACGGTGTCACCTGTATGCAGATGATGTTCAACTCCATCACTCCTTCACACCTGCTACTAAGGAGGCTATCCAGGACCTGGACCGATTCTTGGCCACTGTGATGGTCTGGATGAGGGTGAACAAATTGAAACTGAATCCAGACAAGAAGAGGTCCTTTTGGTCAGTCCCGTGCTGGACGGGGTTACATTCCCTTGAAGACTCAGGTTCACAGCTTGGAAGTCCTCCTGGATTCATTGCTGAGCCTGGAACCCCAGTTTTTGGTGATGGCCAGAGGAACATTTTCACAATTGTACACCAGTTGTGCCCATACCTTGGGAAGTCAGACTTGACCACAGTGGTCCATGCTCTGGTTACATCCCCGAATAGAGTACTGCAACACGCTCTACATGGGGCTGCCTTTGAAGATTGTTTGGAAGCTCCAATTGGTTCAATGGGCAACAGCCAGGTTGCTTTCCAGAATGACATACAGGGAGCACACAACTCCTCTGTTATGCTAACTCCATTGGCTGCTGATCTGCTTTATAGGTTGGCTTTAATCTATAAATCCCTAAATGGTTCCGACCCAGCTTATCTATCTCTATGAACCAGATCGTTGGGGGAGGCCCTGCACCTTTAACCCAAGCAGGAAAGCATGCAGGAGGCATGGGTAAACTTGGACTTCGACTCCCACAATTCCACCACCCTCGCAAGTGCATCCGGTGGGGACAAGAGACAGAGCCTTCCTTCTCAGTGGTGGCCCCTCGTCTATGGAAATCAATCCCCAGCAACATTAGATCAGCACCCTTCTTCCTTGTCTTTAGAAGGAAATTAAAAACCAGGCTCTGGGGTCAGGCGTTCGAAGATTAGCACCGTTTATTTATTTATCGTATCATCCGCAACCAGAACATTGTATTACATTTCTAACAGAACAAAAACATACAAACAGATTAAAAAAAAACACAAATTTTGCAAACTTGGTAGTTGGTTAAATGTCCTTTGAGCAGTCTCTGGCCCCTTGGAGTGCCTCTGGTGTTGCCGCAAGAAGGTCCTCCATGGTGCATGTGGCAGGGCTCAGGGTGCATTGCAGCAGGTGGTCAGTGGTTTGCTCTTCTCCACACTCGCATCTCGAGGATTCCACTTTGTGGCCCCATTTCGTGAGGTTGGCTCTGCATCTCGTGGTGCCAGAGCGCAGTCTGTTCAGCGCCTTCCAAGTCGCCCAGTTTTCTGTGTGCCCAGGGGAAGTCATTTGGTATCAGCCATTGGTTGAGGTTCTGGGTTTGAGCCTGCCACTTTTGGACTCTCGCTTGCTGAGGTGTTCCAGCGAGTGTCTCTGTAGATCTAAGAAAACTATGTCTGGATTTAAGTCGTTGACGTGCTGGCTGATACCCAAACGGGATGAGCTGGAGATGTCACTGCCTTGGTCCTTTCACTATTGGCTGCTACTTCCCGGCGGATGTCAGGTGGTGCAATACCGGCTAAGCAGTGTAATTTCTCCAGTGGTGTAGGGCGCAGACACCCCGTGATAATGCGGCATGTCTCATTCAGAGCCACATCCACTGTTTTAGCGTGGTGAGATGTGTTCCACACTGGGCATGCGTACTCAGCAGCAGAGTAGCCAAGCGCAAGGGCAGATGTCTTCACTGTGTCTGGTTGTGATCCCCAGGTTGTGCCAGTCAGCTTTCGTATGATGTTGTTTCTAGCGCCCACTTTTTGCTTGATGTTCAGGCAGTGCTTCTTGTAGGTCCAAAGTGACTCCCAGGTATTTGGGTGTGTTGCAATGGCATGGGTGTGCTCCACAGGGAAGGAGGGAAGGAAATCGTGAAGTGCAAGGATATATGGTCATGCGAATATGCGCATTTTCTGTCCAGAATCGGGATAAAGGAGGACTTTTATCATTTGTATTTTTTTGTCGTTGCTGTGTCATGTTGACACCCCCCTTTTTAACCCGGTAACCTGTGTGTTTTAGGAAGTCGAAGTGCCCCATGTGCCTCCAAAAAGCGGTCACTGCGTTGACTCACCAGATCTGGATGCCGATTTGCTTCTCCAGGCTGCTGTTGGGCGTCAGCATCCTCGAGCGCCTCCGTGCGCTGGACACGGTCACCACCACCACCCGGAAAAGCACAAAGGTGTTCACCTGGGAAGGCAAGGAGAGAGATGTCTCCTCAGGACTCCCCAAAAAGACAGGAAAACAATCTCCTTCGGAGGCCACAACTCCCACCCCTTCTTCTCAACCGGCCAAGGGTTTTGACCAACCGTCAAGACAAAGAGGACCGGCCCAACGAAGGCCCAGATGATGTCCGTCTGCACGTTCAGCCAGCAGTGGTTGTCGGCCACGTACTTGTTGAAGGAGGTGGCCAGGGTCACGCCAACTATGATGATGGGCAGCCCTGAGGAGAGAAGAGTGGGACGCAACCACTGAGGAACTAAGCACCGGGACTCTGGCTGCATTAAGATCACTACTACTGACCGAAAGGTCATGAGTTCGAAGCCAGCCTGGGTTGGAGTGAGTGTCCGACCAATGTGTGTAGCTTGTTGTCAACCTTGAATAATAATAATAATAATAACACTTTATTTATACCCCGCTACCATCTCCCCAAGGGACTTGGTGCGGCTTACTACTGAGTTCAAAGCTAGCCCGGGTCGGAGTGAGTGTCCGACCAATGTGTGTAGCTTGTTGTCAACCTTGAATAATAATAATAATAATAATAACACTTTATTTATACCCCACTACCATCTCCCCAAGGGACTTGGTGCGGCTTACTACTGACCAAAAAGTCATGAGTTCGAAGCCAGCCTGGGTCGGAGTGAGTGTCCGACCAATTTGTGTAGCTTGTTGTCAACCTTGAATAATAATAATAATAATAACACTTTATTTATACCCCACTACCATCTCCCCAAGGGACTCGGTGCGGCTTACTACTGACCAAAAAGTCATGAGTTCGAAGCCAGCCTGGGTTGGAGTGTGTGTTTCCGACCAATTTGTGTAGCTTGTTGTCAACCTTGAATAATAACAATAATAATAACACTTTATTTATACCCCGCTACCATCTCCCCAAGGGACTTGGTGCGGCTTACTACTGAGTTCAAAGCTAGCCCGGGTCGGAGTGAGTGTCCGACCAATTTGTGTAGCTTGT